ACTAATAGTTCCTACCCAAGTCTAAGAGAAAAGAGAACCCAGAATTTTGACAATTCTGATACACTAGTATTTACCATGTTCTGGATCCTTTTTTTGTTCACAGTTCAGACGGAAACACCAGTCAACCTGACCTACAACCTGACAGACGTCGGTGGTGATGAAATGGGCCACAATGCGCTGATCTCCTGGACCTACCCGGTGCCTGCCCATGTGCAGTACGGTTGGATCACGCTGGTCTATGAGCTGCAGTACAGACGTATTACCGAGCCAGACAACTGGAAGGTAAAGAGAGAAGTAATAATGAACTACAGATGAGTTTTTATACAAATGGAAGAAAAGAAAAAAAGTTCTTGGGGGAAGATCTTTACATTTACAGTTCTGGATATTTATTCAGGAAAGAAAAGAAATCTTTACATCACTGAGGTGTGTTTCTGAATTAAATTGGTGATATTTGTCTTTATTTTATTTTATTTTACTTTTAAAAATAATTTAAGCGCAGACAACTGATTCAAATGTGAGATTACAGTCATTTGTTTTAATCGAGTTTTGGTTTCAGGTGAATGAGAAACTAGCTTGTGGGTGTGAGGAAAATGCTGGGTGCATCATCTACATAAAAGATAATATTTTGAATCTTGTACAGAATTTAATTAATAGACATTAGAAAAAACAAGCTCAAACAAAAATGTGATGAGGATGGAAAACTTCAACAAGGAAAAAAGAGGAGAGACCCTAAATTGAGCACACAGAATCTCAAGATACAAAACAAACGAACCAAGAACTTAAAAAAAATTTGCTAACAAAATCCTGTGTAAAACAATGTGGCAGAAAATGTTATACACGTTACACTGAGTTCATTACTCTTCTTTAGACAGAGTTTTACATATAAAGTAGTTCATTATGGTCTGCATGTCACAGAACATGTTGTCTGTTTGCAGGGGAAGTATCCTCTGCGTGAGCCTCAGGTGGAGCTGTTTGGACTCCCTGTTGACGACTACGTGGTCCGAGTTCGTTGCCGTGCGCAGCACTCCAAGCTGTGGAGTGACTGGAGCGCCACGCTGGTGATGAGCATCCCCCCGAGGCAGTCTGCAGGTACATCAGCAGCCAGACGGAGTAACGGTGCTGATTTACATGCTTCTGGTTTTCACTTTCAAGTGTTTCTTATTTTTACATTTATTGTTGTTTTAATTGCAGTGAACACAGTATGTTTCTGCATTTTTAAATTATATTTTGTGGGTTTCTCGTGAGATTCATTTTGAACAAATTTTATTGCAAGTACAAAGAAGTTAAGCACCTATTTTTATTGTAGATCCTAACTAAAGCTTTATAATGCAGGCATAAAATCACATTGCATTGAGTACAGGCAATGACAAGACATCAATAACTTAAAAAAAACACCATCCAGTTAAAAGCTCTCAACACAGACTCAGTAGTGCTGTGGCACAGGAGGAAGGATTCAAACATCTACAGCTTGACACTAGACATTAATCCTGCAGACACATGCTAAGCTTTTTAAGCACATTAAGCATATTTCTTTTACATGCAATGTTGTTTTAAAAAACAAATTTAAAAAAACAAACAAAAAAAGACAGTTTTTCAGGCATAGAAACAGCATTTCTTTCAGTGCAGTGCCAGGATTCTGAATTTGGACAGAATGGATCAGATCTATTTGAGCTGAGGATTCACATTACAGAAGTTAATGTTTTTAATGCTACCACTTCTATTTATTACAAGCAGGTACATGTGCCTGTATCAATCAAGGAAGCAGTACCCAATCAATCACTGTTATTTTTGCTGTACATTAGAAATAATAATATAAGCCAGTTCACAAGCTGTGGGCAGTGACTGAAAGAGGCTCTCCCTCAGTGATCGGGTGAGAACTTCAGTTATTTGGGAGGGATTCAGATTAGATCTACTACTCCATAGATGATGGATGGATGGATGGCTAGACACTGAAATCCAACTGAAATTAAATAAATCCTGTCTTATTTGAATTATTTCCATCATATAGGCTAGATCACAGTGAAAGAGAGCTGAAGAAAGAGACTGTTTGATAAGCTACATTGACTCTCATCAATCGAGAGGCTCATTGTATTTAAATTCATTAACTTCTCTCAATAGAAACTGCCTCTGCTTTCAAAGAGAACGATACGCAGAAATGTTCAGCTCTGTGTAGTTCTACTGTGAAAAAAAGCTACTGTGTAAAATACATGTGACCCATTTATTAACAATCTCAGGGAAATTTAGTTTTTTCCCCTAAGGCTAGTGTAAATATCTTTTAAACAGCAGGAGAGAGCCATGCTGCTTCAATAAGCATCATGCCATGTCACAAGATATGCATCCACAGCAGTATGCAATGCAAAAGAAAAAAAATTAAAGAAAGTTTCTTCATTCTCTGCTGAATGACTCCTGCTTGCTTAACATGCATCAGCTCGTGTGAAATGGCCTGTTCTGATTGGTGTGAATGATAAATTAATGAATGTTATCTTCAAAGATTGGAAAACGACAGTCTTTTTTCATTTTTTATTTTTAATTGTATTTGTTATAATCATTTAACATGAAATCGAGGAAATTCTCTCTCACAGACAGTCCTGATGGGCTCTTTGTTAAATTGGTGGGTCCAAGCCCCTTAGGCCCACCCACAACACCACAAAATATTTCCTCTGTTAAAAAAACATCCCTTTTCCCAATTAAATGTGTCACTGAAGGAGTAAAGCTGCAGGGGAGGAGGAGAGGGACGGTGACTCAAGGTGTGTTTTACCTGTGCAGGTAAATTGCTGGTGCTGATTCTGGTGACTGGAGTTGGCGTTGTGGCTCTGCTTGTTATCACCTTCAGTATTGTTCTACAAAGCAAGAGGTGAGAAAAAATACACATCTGTTTCTATCTTTGTCTTGCCACATATACACATGCGCCTGGACACACAAACACACACACATCATTTGATTTAGATTTTTGAGTTTAATATTGCAGGTGTAGAAGTAAGACGCTAACTGCTGCCCTGCTTCTTGTTTTTGTAGCTGTCAATAAGAATGTTCTTTACATCTGAACTGATTCATTTTTAGGAAGACCTTCAAAGTTGTAAAGAATGTTCAGCTGCAGAGAAATTGTTAAACTTAAATTGTTAAACTATCCAATTCTGACGCACAGGAAGAGCAGGCTCAGAGATAACGCTACATTTTTTAAAAAGATTAAATACATTTTATGGCTGGAACACTGACTTCGTTCAATGTGTGTGTGCTAGCTTAGTGCTGCCGTGAAGCTGCCTATTTTATGTGTGTCAATTAAAGGCAAGTACACCCTTTTTCAAGGTTTTACATATCACTACATATTAAAAATAATCTAGTCCCACCAGAGCATTTCAATCAGGTTAAAGTCTGGACTTTGACTGAGCCACAGTCAGTCTGCTGTAGATTCTCTACTGTGCTTGGGATCATTGTCCTGTTTAATGACACGGTTTGGGCCAAGCTTTAGTTGTTGGACAGATGGTCTCAAATTTGACTCTAGAATACTTGGATATACAGAGCACCTCATGGTCAACTCATTGACTTGTGGCTGCAAAACAAGCCTAACTCATGATCCCTCCACCACCACGCTGTAAGCTGGTATGAATTGTTTGTGCTGATACACTGTGTTTGTTTTGTGCATTATGATCAGACATCTTTACTTTGGTCTCTTCTGCCCAAAGGATGTCTTCTGGTTTGTTCAGATGCATCACTGCAAACTTAAGCTGTGTTGCAATGTTCTTTTTAGAGAGAAGTTGTTTTCTCTTGGCAACCCCTTCAAACCAGCTTGTTGATCAGTCTTTTTTGAATAATCCTTTTCACAAGAGAAATTATGGACATAGCTTGAAAATGGTCTAAAAAATTTTCAGGTTAATGGGCCACAACAAATGCATCACCGAGGTCATTGCCCATGTCTTTCCTCCTTGGCATTGTGTTAACATACACCTGAATGCTTCAGACCACCAAACTTCCAAAAGAGTCTACAGTGTAGACTGTGTAGTCACAAAATAGAGGGGGTGTGGCTTATGAGCTATACTACATACAGCCACCAGGAGGTGATCAGGATATTTTGGCTATTTTGGCATGTGTTTGAGCTTCTCTTCCCTATAATTTATCATATCTGCATTGCCCCATAATACACACCAACAGTTCCTATTTAAAGCAGAAACTGGTTCAGAATAATATTTTCCATGGGAACTTTTCAGAGGCTCCACAGAAACACACTGTGAAAAATAAAGATTAGCTTCACTCCTCAGTGTGGACAAAATGAGCGAACGGCGATAGGTTTTGTCTCTTCTCAGGGTCACACTGTTACAGCGTGGGAGGATGAATGTGTTGTTTTTGTTTGCGTACTGACATGTTCAAACCTCCTCTCTGTCTACATTCACCTTCAGAATAAAAGAGTACTTCCTGCCACCCATTCCAAAGCCACGGATCATCGGGATTGACCCATTGCTCCTGAAGGTAAAATGCGTGCATGCATCCCTCCTTTCAGGGTCGTGTTTTAGCCATTTGTCCTGACCTTGTACTTCTGCTCCTTTATTGCCTTCTCTCCATTTGTTGCTTTTATCTCCCCTCCCCCTCTTTTTCTTATTGTATCCTCATGTTTCTCCTTCTTTTGCTGTTTTCACTGAAAATTGCCCTCATGTTCTTTTTCTTTTTTCTATCACTTTCCTCATTTCCCATTTACATTTTGATTCTATTTTTCCTCATCTCTTTTCTTAATTTTCATTTCTCATGCTTTTGCTTTCCTGATCCTCTTCCTCTTAATTTCTTAATTTGCCTTACTATTATTTCCTTTATCATTCTTCTTCTTTTCCCATTTTCTTCTACATCTTAATTTCTCATTGGTTCATTATTTTTTTCTTTATTTATTTATTCCTCCCATCCCCACCTCCATCCTCAGAAGGGGAACTTGGACGAAATCAACCGCCACTTCAGTAACTTCCACAGCTACAGGCCTCCAAGCTACTCTGAGGAAGTCTGGGACCACGTCAGCACTGATGACATCTATCTCACCACACCGAAGCACAGCAGCGACGCACACAACCCTTCGGAATCAGAGAGGGAGACCTTAATAGTTCCCTGCAACCCGGCGTCCTTAGAAGTGTCCACCCGGCATCAGCTCACAGCTCTAAACCCAAACTCGTACATGCAGAATGTGCCACCTTACTGCTCTTTACCCAATGAAGCCTTCACCCCACCTCTGAGTATTCCTTCCCCGTGGCCGATGCCAGAGATCGTATCACTGCCCCGGACGGACTACATGATGGAACATCCCAGCCTTTCCAACACCATCCCCACTCCAGACCTCACTTTCAGCACCAGCCCCTCACCGCAGGACTTCTACACCTGTGTCCAGCTCTTAAATGAAAGTGGTGAGGTGCATCTAGTGCCATGCTTGCCGCCGCCATACTGCAGGGAGTTCCCACCTCTCCCAAGGGCTAATTTAGATACTGCAAAGAAGGAGGAGAAAAAGAAGACAACCAACCACCAAACTAGGAAGAATGATGGTGGCAACTCTGAGAAGAGTGAGGCGGCTGTCCCTCTGCTGCCTGTTGCTGTTGACAACAGTGGCTGAGTCACAGGAAGGAGATCCATAAACTTTGAGAAAATGCGTCTAACGCAGAGACTTTTAAAATATGCAAAGTAAAATCTCCTGTAACCTGCTGGTTTGACTGGAAAGTGATACTGTTCTGTTCCACACTATTCAAGCTTCAAAGAAGAAGAGCACCTGGTTGACTTAACAACAGGAAGTAAATCTGCAAGCTCAAAGAGCCTTTTTTTTAGCTTGCTAACATCCTGATCTAGTATTGGAAACCATTTAAAAGACTATGGACCAACAATACTGATGCAATAAAGAACATTATGTTTCGATGACCAACATTTGGGCCCTCACAGTATTGAAACTGATCATTTCAAAGACACTTGGCTAAATTTTAAGCTTCACATGCACTATGCTAGAGCTAAAATCAAAGAAATCAATAGTTAAGAGGAAAAAAAATCAAGACTAAATTAATACAAGCAAGCACGTCATCCACAAAAGCTGGATTTCCTGATGAGATTAACACTGAGCTCTATTTATGGGTAATGGAGTTCATCAAACTTGAGGAAGCGTAACTGTAAATAAAATAATATAAATGTCACTTTACCACTCGCTGCTTTTCCCCAAAGCTTCTCATTCAGGGTTGTATGTCTTCTCAGGAAAAAGTGCAATCTGATGTTGAAGGGTGTTTGATTTACGGGGATTGTTTAACTTTCATCCCACTGTTTTCTCTTTCAGTGTCATTAAAGCAACATCTGGTGCATATTACACATATATGTTACAAAGCTGTAAATATGGCAATCTTCATGTCCAGGATATCAACTTATTCCATTGTGTAGTACTTACATGTCCCGGCCTTGTAGGGGAATATTTGCATCACACTCTGCATCACTTTCAGAATGTGAGTCTGGCACATTTCAGTGGGTGTCCCAGACTGGGGAGGAATAAAAAAACAAAAAAAAATTATATATATATATATATGTGTGTGTGTGTGTGTGTGTGTGTGTGTGTGTGTGTGTGTGTGTGTGTGTGTGTGTGTGTGTGTGTGGGTGACGGAAAGGCTTGGCTCCGGAGTTAAACTCACACTCCTGGTACGACATGAAGCTGGCTGCTGCCAAGAAGCCGGACTTGGCAGATGAGAACACCTGTTTCTCTTCAGAGGAGGAACCTGTTACATTTTCAGTCCAGAGTCCCAAAAGATTTATTTTGAGATTTATTCCAGAAATATAAGGAATCAAGGAAAAGTAACTCCACTCCCTCAGGAAGACAGAAACTGTGAATTTCTTTTCATTGTACTCAGTATGTTTAACTTTATGAGGTCTCAGTCAGGACCCTATATTTTGGAGAGAAGCAAAAGGCATTCTGATTGCTGTAACGTTTGGGAATTGGGATAATAACAAAATGACTTTGTAATCGATAAGCATCAGTATAATCACTGAGACCTCACGGGATTAACAAACTTCTACCTCTGGCCACATCTCTTTAGTTTCCAGAGAATATTTAATAAGGTAAAGCCCTCCCCCTCTGGTCTATTACACAATAGTATATATTTTCATAACAGATGGTTTTAGTCAGGATTAAAAAATAACACTATTACAAAAAGTGTTATATATATTTTTTGAAATGATGAAAGACCACCCTCAGGTAGTGTGTTCTTTATTTTCTTGGATCGAAGTGACATATTTTGGAAATCAAAGAGAACCAGTGCATGCATTTAAATTGCAGTATTACATTTTGTATTTAGGTCAAGGAATTCAAAGAGTCTGAGGACTCGTCAGGGGTTAAATACAAAGAGTTGGTTGAAAAAGAAGGATATTTTTAAGAGCAAATCCAATCTGTCCATCTGCTGCTGGCTGATCTTTGGTGCCAGGTGATCTTACTCTATTTCCAGATTGTAATGACAGCTAAAATTAGAAAGCTGTTCTAGCCCTATTCTTCAGACCAATGGGATGAACAATACCTGTAGTGTGTCTAAGACATAAGGCCTCTTGATGTATCAGTCTTAATTCTGAATGTCCAAACTCTTCCACAATTTATATCCTAGACACCCTGAGAAGGATTTGACCAGTCAGCATCCTGACATTCAAGCCCAACAATATCATGAAATCATTTGGCTGTTTTAGAATCTCTTAAAACGTTTCCAGCATCAGAGTGCCAAACATGCCACCAAAGAAAAGCCAGTAGCATTTTACCAGCTGGATACACTAGGTGATTTTTGATTCCTTAAGCCTCAGAGAAATGCTGTAACCACTGTGTTGAGGTGGGTTCTGTAGCTTACTAATAATTTCTACCTTGTTATTGTCGAAATGGCTGCCATTGTTGTCCCACTAGCTGTTTCAGGACACAGAAATACATGAAATGACCACAAAATCATACTTTAGCAGTGGAAAGCAATGAGTTCCTATCCTGTTGCCATGGTTACCAGAGAGTTTTACATGTGTTTGCTGGTTAATTCCATTAAAAAGTCTTTTTCCAACACGATGATGATATCTTGACAGTGCAGTGCCAGGAGATCACCGGAGATCAGCTGCAGGTGCGTGGGCCAAGGGCGTGAGCCCAATCCGAGCTCCACCCAGGCAGACAGGTAGGAGAGAGAGAGAGAGCAAGGCAAGGGGAGCAGAGAGACAGTAAAACAACAAGCACTTGTGGCCACACTGGGCTGGCCGGGGAGGCACAGGGACCATGGCACACCGCTGCCCTGTTAGCTCTGACACTGAGAAGTGTGCCGTCACCGTGGGTTTTTTTTCTTGTGGATGTTGCAGTTAGACGTCGTGCTGTTACCTCTTCTTGTGCCTGTACGTGCCTTTTCTCACAGAGTACTATTTGTTTGCTATTCCTCTGTCGTGTTGAACTCTCAAGCAGCCAACGTGCCACTCCTACACTCCTGGAAATCTTTTAATATGAGCATAAATGGCTGATGGGTGAACACCTAGTGTCTGCACATGTGTGCTGTGTGGAGCATGTACAAAACCTACTCAGTGTTAGTTACAGTTTCACCTTTTATTGTGTCTAGACAAAAGCACTTTCGATTACTCTTCAATAAAATAAAGAGTTTAAAAGCTTCTAAAAGTGTGTGGGCTTCATCATTCTTAATGCACACACCTTTAAATCAAAACTGTTTGAGATGGTTGATAAAACGGAGTGATTCGTGATTGCTCCAAGAATAATCCTTCTTGTTTATTTCCTCTCATGTTTCTCACTAATGTGTCCAAATTGCAGTTACCTGTCAGCATAACTGGATTTGGTTCTGTCCTGCCTCCTATGCGAGTTATATCTTCTTGTCCTTGTGATGATCAACAACTTATTGAAGATAGATAAATGGTTACTAAATATTAATGAACTGTCAATATATCATTTATAAATGCCTAGAATAAAGAGCTAGCCTTACTTTAGGCGGAACTGGGCTTATCGTAAGTTTTATTTTGTAACAGGCCAAAAGAACCAAACACCAAAAGAAGCTAAAAATGAAAAAGTAGAAAATAAATAATGTGAAATTAAGAGAAAAACAGTGGTTTTTGTGAGAGTCAAATGTGTCATGTGTGAAAGTCCACTGACTGCTCAAGTTTTCCCTGGATGCTCCATTTTCATTCCTCAGTCTGAGCACATGGTTCTTTGGTAGGTCACAGTCCCTTCCACCAGAGATACAATCAGACACCAGGAGTTAAGAAGTGAAGTAGGTGTTCTACTTAAGGAGCCTTCCTTGTTGTTGTTGTTGTTGTTTTTATTAAATATGCTGATTGGAACAGTTCCATCATTTACCCACTGTTTTTTGTTTGTTTGTTTTTTAAAGCAGGCATTTAATGATCTCAACATGACAGTATTCCTGGACCTGTTTATATTGTCACAGTCATGTGAAAAAGAAAGATTTCTTTGCAGTCCTGTGGCAAACGCTCTATGATTCAGTAGCTCGTGGAACCCCCTTTAACTGCAACAAACTGAATTCATCATTCAATGTTCCACTTTATCAGTCTCTCACATGGTTATGGGGGAATTTAGACCCTCTCTTCTTGCTTCATAGAGGTGTGTATGCACTCATTTATGCACAGCCCTCTTAAAGTCCCTCGGCAGCATTTCAATCAGGTTGACATTTGGACTTTGACTGGGCCTCTATCTTTTTCTTTTTCAGCCATTCTGTTGTACATTTTCTGCTGTGCTTGGCATCCAGTTTGGTCCAAGCTTTAGCTGTTAGACAGAAGTCCTCACATTTGACTCTAGAATACGTTGGTATACAGAGGAGTTCATGGTCAGCTCAGTGACAGCTCCACTTTGGGCTTATATGTTCAAAGGATATTATTCTATAAGTATTCAAGTATTCAACCTGCCATGTTCTTTTTAGCGAGAAGAGGCTTATGCCGGGAAATCCTTTCAAACAAGTCATACTTGGTCGTTTTTCTTATTATGAGGTCTGTAGCATCTGAGATGTAACCCATGGTTTTTTGCAGTTTGAACATTGCATGGGCTTTCTTCTATTTAGCCTCTTAATCAGCATCCTTTCAGCAGATCCAACATAGCATTGCTATGTAAGCTGTAAGCGTTGTGTCTCAGCAGCTGTGGTGACTAACTAGATCAAGCACTTCAACTATATATCAGAAGCTTTTTGTAAAGAAAAAAAAAGAAGAAGAAAAAGAAATATACAAGGCCCAGGCAAGAGGAGGCAGAGGATGTGTTATCTTCTGTTGCTGCTACAGCAGACATGGACATTGCCTCAGATACAAACTTAGGAGGGTGAATTCGGACCCACTGTAATCTCACTGTGGCTCACCGAGCCAGACATTCACACACTTCTCCAGTGTCCAATTTCTCACTTAGGCCTAATTGAAAAATAAATTCATTACTCACAACAAAGTTATTAAAGGAAACTTCATAGGCCAGTGAGAAATGTCCATGTCTGTCACACTGTCACCATAAAATCATGCCTGCTGCTCAGAGTAATGTCAGTGTTAACAGCAGTGTCTCTGTTCCTTCTGTTAAACTGTGCACACAAGTATGCAAGAGTGAGTAACCATGGTTACAAAGAGACGCCGTAATCATCATTCCCAGCCGAACACCTCAGGCTATTATGAAATTTTAGCTTTTTTTTTTTCTTTTCTCTTTCGTGTTATGAGGCGTTGATGGGAGAGAGGAGTTAAACACAAAACATGCTAATAGAAAGGTTTGTTTTTACTGAATAAATAAATAAAATTGCAATCCAGGTATCCACAGAAGGGTAAACAGTCAGGAGGACAGGTGGGGAGTTGGGACTATAGAAACACTTGGACATGGGTGAAAACCTTACAAAAGAGGGAAAACAAAGAAAGCAAAGCAAAGTTGTTGTTTTTTTTTAAAAAAAAGGGAAAAATGGTGAAACCAAGAAAAGAAGAAACAGGAAAAGTCAACCCAGGAAAGGCTCTTTTATACTGACTCAATTATAAAGGGACGAACATTTTCAAAATAAGAGCATGACAGTAAAGAGGGGGCTCAACCTCACAGTTTATCATCTTATATAGCAGCTTTGTCCCTTCCTGCCATACTACAGCAGAGCTGTATCTCACACCACTTTATACACAGAGGGTTAAAAACACTTATGTGTTCTCAGTCACAGCTCCTCTGCCAATCCTCCTCTATCCTATAGCTTCATTTAGGGTTTCCTTCAAGACTGATTTTAAGGACACAGGCAGAAAAAAAGGCCCTGAACTGGCCGTAGGTTTTCTGTCTTTGTGTATGTCACCCCTGTAATGGACTGGACGGTGTGGTGTGAAGATCAATGTCTGCAAAATCATTAATTTTGTAGCAAATGATAAAGAGTTGATCTGCAGAAGCAGAAAAATATCATCGTATTAATGTCAATGTTCCTGCTTAAAACAGCTGGATTAGAAATCACCACAGGCAGACTCTGAAATTGTGATTATTATAATATTTTATCCAAGAGCTTTTCCTGCTTTTTATTCAGCAGTTACAGTAAATAAAGTCTTTCCATAATTAGCTCTACATGCATGCAGGAAGAC